TTCAGCGTTCAGAGGCGGTACGTCGTCTTGCTGGAAAAATATGTTTTCGAGTTCCATTAGGGGCATATCATCAATAAGGGGTTCATAGCCTACTTGTTAAAAGTAGCGAACTTTTAAAAATTCTGCATTTCGAAGGGGATTATAACAAAATATTAAGTGTGCTATATTTTTGGAAAGGTAGTTTTAAATTCTTTTCAGTTAATTAAAAATATAGGGGGTGTCCCAAATAAAAAATCAATTTTTCTGTTGATAACTCTTAAAATATTAATTTTAAAACTTAAACCATTAAATTCTATGTAAAAAGGTGCTTTGGAAATGTTTTCATAGAAATACAAAATTTTCCATAGCAAAAAAGTTACAGCGATTTTTTAAAAATGCAAATTTTTGAAAAACACCCCGTAACTCCGAAACGGTAACAGATATTGATGTGCGGTTTTCACTATCATGTTTTTGATGAAAATTGAGCTCCAGACATTAGTTTTCGTCTCTCTCCTATAGAAAAGGGTGTTTCCATTTAAAAGCGTCGAATTTGACCCACCCTGTACATTCTCTACACACTTTTCGACATACATGTAGAAAATTGAATTTTTCTATTCTATATATTGAAGTCTTTACCCGTCCCTGGTGCCAACTTTTATTGACTTTTCTAGAGTTTATCTAATGTTAATTGTAATTTTACCAGTAGTTAAGGAATTTTGTAAAGTGCACTTTGGATACAAGGCTCAAAAGGATGACGAGCTGACATTGAAAGAAGGTGATATAGTCACGATAATTAGCAAAGATGCCGAAGATCAAGGATGGTGGCGAGGTGAATTGAATGGAAAAATAGGCGTTTTCCCTGATAATTTCGTAACACTTTTACTTAACAACGTACAGGATAAAAATCCAAGCCCTAAGGTTTGTATTATTATCTAATTATACAGGTTGTTTCAAATTCTACCCTCACCATTGGAATCTACGGTGGTTTAAATTGGGGCACAGTTGCTTGCTTTTTTTTCTTTTTTGTTTGTTCAAATTTAAGTTTTTACCAAAACTTTGTAGTTATTTGAAGGCCTATTTTCTTGGACTAAAAGATAACTTCAATTACGAAACGGATTATTTATCATTGACACTGACAGACAACTTTGACCCAATTTAAGCTACCCTGTATCTCTTACCGTTTCTTAGATCCTAATGGTGAGAGGCGAATTTTAAACACCCTGTATTAAATAATTCACACTTTGTTTATAAATTATTTCTTATTATTTATACCATTATATACAGAGTGGTCCGAACTATATTCCGGAAATGTTGGCAGCATATTCTGCAGATAAAAATAAATAAAAAGTTTGTATAAATGTATGTCCTAAAATGCGTAGTTTAGGAGATACAGGGTCACAGGGTGTAGAAGTTTCATTTTTATTTCGATTTTTTCCAAATAATTTATGAAGTAACGTCAATATTTTGATGAAAATTGGTGTCTGGGAGTTCTTTGGTATGAGAAATTTGATATTGATGTCAATATGACTCCTACTTGTAGAGGGCGCCATCTACATATTTTTTGACTGGTTTAAAGAGTAATAACTTTTCGTCCGTACCTGTATAAAACTACTGAGTAAAAAAATATACATTTACGACGTCTTTTACGTAAAAAAGGCCTCTTTTTAAAAATGGTTACGAGTAATGGTTCTCGAGATATTTGAAATCGAAATTATCAATACCTATCATTATTGACATAAATTAAACATGTTGACGAAATAGTTATTAGACTGAAATCATAAATTTGTAATGTATATGTGCCAAAAGCTGAACAGAAACTGTTTTATCATCATTTTTTCGAAGAAAAATTTATGAATAATTTAAAAAATAAAATTTCTCAAATTTATTATTTCAGTCAAATAATTATCTACTCAACGTGTTTATTTTTTGGCAATAATGACATGTATTGACTATTTCCATTCTAAATATCTTGGGAACGGTTGCTCCTAGCGATTTTTTACGTGAAAAGTCATGGAAATTTATATTTTTTCACTCTGTAGTTTTATACAGGTACGGACGAAAAGTTATTACTCTTCAAAACAGTTAAAGCACATGTAGGTGGCGCTCTCTACAACTAGGAGTCATATTGACATCAAAATCAAATTTCTTATGTCAAAAAACTCCCAGACACCAATTTTCATCCAAATATTGACATTAATTCATAAATTATTTGGAAAAAATCAAAATAAAATTTTTATTTTGATTTTTATCTGCAGAATATGCTGCCGAAGTTACCGAAATACAGTTCGGACCACCCTGTATATTATTACCATTTAATTATAGCACGAAGCAAAACCTCCTGCCAATACAAACAGTGCCATCAAGCCCAGTTCCGTAGCCTCGCAAAGGAAATCCCTCGAAATTAAGAAGACAGACGCTTCTAAAAGTACTCCGCCACTGCCAGGGAAGAAACCTTCAGTTTCCCTAAAAAAATCTCCGTCTGGTTCCAGTGCCGGCGGTTTATTTTCGAAATTGAAAGATAAAATAGCGGATGCCGTGGATGGGGTTAGCAGTAGCAAAGTTAAGGAAGCCAAGGAAGTGAAGGAGAGTGAAAAGAATGATAGTGTGGCCCTTCCAGACACCAGTGCGTTCGATCAAGTGGATAGGCGGCCTCTGTTGGGTGATGTCAGAGCAAGCAGAGCAAGGCCTCCAGGTAAGCAAAATTTTATCTATTTTGTTCTTTGAATAAAAAGATTACCTTTCACTAGTCCGAAAAAGTAGCAAAATAAGCGTTCGACATTTAACGTTTTATGCAAAACTGGCTAGGTATTTTTACACAAATGAAGAAGGAAATTAAAGATAAAGGATTATACTATATCCTTATTGTAGCACATTTTTAGACAACTTCTTTGTTTTTAAGATTTTGATGGTCGAACATCAACAAAATATTCCTTATGTTTAGACTTTGAATAAGAAGACTAAGGAAGGAGCATAATGCTATCCATGTATTCATGCATGGTGGGCGGAAAAAGCACTCTAGGGTGGGGATCCTTGACAGTTCTGTTTGACGATTCATTTGACACATTTGATTTGAAATTTTGTGGATCTGTCAGTCTTTACGGAGCTTATTTTATGTTATTTATTATTTATTCTACTACTGATAGTTGTATAAAGGTAGTAAATCTAGATGGAAATTGTGGCAGAACTTAAATTAACAGTGACACTATCGCGATTTATCGAAAAAGACTCTAAAATAGTTGGTT